GAGCTTGTCATCAACCCCACTTTTTCCTTGAGCTTGGCAGCTCCACCAAACAAAATTGATCATCGCAACAAATAATTGGTCAATCAAAATAAAACAATACGAAAATCTCATAACAAATTTTAATCATTCTTAAAAGCTTATTTACCTGTAGAAAAATTCACAGTTGAAATTTAATTCTTGATATAATAATCAACAATTTTTGTTGCATGCTTGCATATCTCTAGAGCATAGCATGCATCACCTGAAATAGTTGCTACTTGAAATATGCATATGGCATACTTTAACATCAAATAGATGATAGTACAGCCTTATAAAAATGTAAGAATACATCAATTTTAGTAAATGAAAATAAAGAATGAAACCTAACTTTCACAAAAAAAAAAAAAAAAAAAACCCATACAGCAAACATTCCAAATTAATACACAAAGACTGACTTGATCTTGGATATGAAATACACATAAGAGAAAACAATTCAAAAGTGAATATTGAGCTAAGATAATAAAAAAACCTATAATATCAAACATCCCATATTAATCATTAAAAAATACAACTTTGAGCTTGTATAACAAAACCCAAAAACCAAAAAGTTAAAAATAATAATAATAATAATAATAATAATAATAACAATGTAGCTAAAATAATAACCCAAGTCAAACTTCCCAAATTAGTCATCAAAAAATAGAACTTTGAGCTTCAATAACAAATAGTCAGGATCCAAGAACCAAAAAATAAGACTAACCAATAATTAAGCTACAATAACAATGATCCAGATATCAAAAACCAAAAAAAAATCATAAAAAGGTTTAAACAACACATCTTTGAGCTTCAATACTAACTATTCAGAAGCCAAAAAAAGGTGATTGATAGAGAAATAGGTACCAAAATGGGTCAAGAGGTTGAGCTACTGAGGTTTAGGGATACAACTATCATGAACCTTCATGGTGATGTTGCCATTTGTTCTTGAGACCCATCTAAGATTATAGAACTGGCAACAAAGCTCAAATATTAAAAACCTTGTCTCTTTCACTGCTTTGCTCTCTAAATAAGCTTGTAAAACACTCCTCATCTTCAAGCCCCTGTAAACTGCCATTGCTGTAGGTTTAACCATTGCAAAAACAAAGGCTTTTTTTATATTGGCCAAAAAAGAAAAAAGAAGTGTTGCATGTTTTGTAGGATAAAATTTAGAGATGGACTGGTCTTTATAGTTTATTATTAGAATTATATATCTTATGCTTTTTTATATATAGACACACATATATACATGTTACACCTTAACTCAGGCAAGCAATTTTTTTGCACATTGCACCTTAAGCAATATAAGGGTTCTAGAGCTTATAATGCACCTAGCACCCTTGACAACACTGAATCCAAGTGCCTTATTTAAAAGAGAAACAAAGTTGAAAACATGTTTGGCATGATAGCTGTTTATTTTCTATTTGGTTAAGATTGTTATATCACAAACTTAATTTACTATATTTAATCTCACATCACAAAGACAAGTAAATATATATAAAAGGTCATGTAAAAGTATATATCCATCATCATCTGACTCTTTATGATATACGAAAAATGCTTAAGACTTACCACCACATTATCCCAAGAGAAAATTATACCATATGCTTCATCTGGTTTCATGGCATAACGAATTCACTTAAGAAAACCTTCTTGTAATCTATCATTCAAGTAATTCTATTCAAACCAAAAGAAATCCTTAAGCTAATAAGATAGCCAAACTCATTGAAAACCCTAACAAACTAGTTCAATGAATGTAAAATCACCTAAATTCCTTATCACATTACCTTTAAAGGCCTACCTAGCCTAAAAGTCTCAAAACCATTCCCATACTCAGCTCCGATTGCCTAAAGCAAAATAAACATGAACAAAACCATCAAAATTTATCATAACACATACATACAAAAAAAAAAGACCATATTAAAATTGCTCCTCTCTCTAAATTCATAGAATTCACTAAAAAAAACAAATTCTTTCTAAACAAATTAGAAAAAAAAAACACATAAGTCACAAATCCAAATATCAAAACTTCAAAATTTTAAGTAATTGGCACATCAATTCATCTAAAAAAAAAGCCAAAAAAAAAAATACCTTGAGAAAACCTAAAAAATAGGAGAAAAAAGCTAGCATGAAAATTAAATAATATTATAAGTAAACTATCTCCTTTGCCATGAGAAATTTCAATAAAGAAAAAACCCAAATATCAAAATTTCCTTTTTTTTTTACAAATAACAAAAGGAAAAAATTCCCTTGAAATATACTAACAAATAAAAAGAGAAAATGATACCTCTTGCATGAAAAGCTTGTTGAGTTTAATTGGAAAGCAATTAAAAGAGCTGCTTTCATCAAAGCTAGTTGAGTTTTTATTGGGCGTAATTGGGAAGCAGCTCACAGTCTTTTTTTCTCTCTCTCTCTCTCTTTCTTTGTTCACTTAGACCTTAGCTCTCTCTCTCTCTTATTTGTCCAAAAGCCATGTGCTAATTTTAAAGCAGCTAATACTTGCATGAAGTCCACATAGTAGTTCATGCCTTGACCATATGTGAAACTTGCTTAGAAAAAAAAAAGGAACATGTCAATTTTAGGATCTTTAAGAAATCTTTTTTATATAGGATAGTATAGATTACTAATATGGTAACCATGCTATCCATTGGACATCTTAATTCAATTTGTTATAATTTGAAGAGAATAAAATGAAGAACTATTATATTTGATTTTGATTATATAATAAAAGGTAATATAAACATCATTCTATTTGCATTCCATTATCACGAAAACTAATTCAAAAGACTTTTAAAAAGAATTATATTTATAGGGATTAAGAGGAAGGATCATTTTATTTTATTTTAATTATTTAAAAGTCAATGTAAGTATCATTCTATTAACATTTTAGTATTACAAAAGGTAATACAAAGGATTTTTAAGAATAGTGTTGTACACACAAAAAGAGAGGTTCAAAGATTGTTATAATTGTAAAATCAAATATTATTAAATTGAATATGTTTGATGCTATGGGTAAATGAATGATGCCACATACAAAAATTCATAAGAGAGATGAAACAAAATATTTGTTTTCTCAAATAAAAAAAAAAAGAGAAATGGATTTTAAATTTTGATGTTAAAACGGTTGGAATAGTAACTAATTAGTACCAAAAAAAGTCGCATGCATCACATAAAGGCATCATGATCAGCTCACACTTTATTTCTTTTGAGGTATAATAGGCCAATAACCCACTTGCCCAAATAGTAAGACAAAGTTTAATAGAAAGGATATGACAAAAAATCACAAGTACTATCTTATGTCTAGTGGTAGGTCAAGGAGATGTTACCTGAATGGCAGGAAGGATAAGTTCCTTTCTTATAAGATGCTTAAGAAGGAATTGAAGCTTATTGAGCCTAAGTCTAGTGAGAGGCCGAATAAATAGCTTAGACTGGATGGAAATTTTGGTGACGTTATCGATGTTGGAGATAAGGTTGGTGTAGGTGACGGTATGTTGGGAAAGGAGATCGATCTTATTAAGCTTTTGGAAGATGAGCTTGAGAAGTTCAACACGTTTTTTTGTTAAGAAAGAGGAAGACAATATTATCACATTGAAAATAATTCAAACTCTGATTTGATTTCGATCTTTTTGGTTTGGGAGATTAGTTTTTTAGCTGCTAATTTGGTTTTTTTCCATTTTATTGCCGATATCATTTAGGTATTGTAGTAAGAAATTTTGGGTTTTGAAATTGTTTCTAACTTAGTTGATTGATTTTTTTTTTTTTAGTCGTTTCTTTGTTTTTTCCCCTTTTTATTACAGGTATTGTTAAATCAGTTAGCTTCCCATCTCTTAGAATGTAGCTAGGTTTCTGCATGTTTTGTATGGTATGCTTTTCTTTCTATTTGCTTTACTTTTAGTTTAAATTTATGCATCTACATCCATCAACTTATTCATTTAGCTATGTAGTTTTCCTTAATGACAAACAAGATTGCCTATTGAAGTTTAATGAAAAACAATATATCCGTTTACCAACTATAGAGATTTCTCCAGTTGATTTGAATGGATGATGATATTTGTTTGTTATTTGTGCAATGCTTGAATGGATGATGATATTTGTTCGGTTCATTGACGGGATAAACAACAAAGCAAAATGTATTTGCTTTCATATTTTTTATTTTTGAAATTATTCTTCTCAATGTGTTATCATTTATCGGTTAGTTTATTAAAGTAATACGAATCTAGCGTTACTAGGAAATTAGAAAGGAAAAACAAATATTAATCGAACAAAAAAATGAAAAAGAATTACATACAAAATTGAAGCCTTACTTTTGTTGTTATTCATGTATGCACAGGATGAAGAGAAATTACGAATTGATTTAAGTCATTTATAGTTGTTAAATTGAGTTCTCTAAAAAATTTATGTTTGTCAAAGTTTCATGTGAAAAATCATAGATAAATAAATTTTAATTTTATCTATTAACTGAAAAATGGATTTATATTTAGGAAGTCAAGCATGTTGTCAATTTGCTACACAATGTATTGCATCTTTTGCTGCTTTTATTTATGTAAAGTGTTATGTGAGTTGCAAAATGATAATTTGGTCTATTTTGCAATACTTAGAATGCGTTTTTTCTTTTTTTTTTTGGAAACTCAAAGATGCACTTTATTATTTAAAATAAGTGTTCACTAAAAAAAAAAAACTATAAATATTAAGGGGATAGTTGCTTAACCTATTTGTAACAAGTAGATTCTTACGAAGTGTCAATATAGTTGGACTTCACCATGTCAAGATGTCACACACCTCTAGGATAAATGCAAGCTATGATCTATATACAATCTAATATGCTTGATCCAAAACTCCTATAGCCTTTATACTTATTTACTTCATTTGTTCTATGAAAATGGTATGATTAAGATCAATGTTAGAGTGGACTTTATAATTGAAATATCTCAAAATTACGCTGGTTGGAACCTACTCCAACCCAAATCATCGAGCCAATCTGTTATGGTTCAATCTTCAGAAGCAAGCAGGCATAGCTTCTTGAGTTGTGTTGGCCAGTCTACTCCAAAAATCAAGGGATTTTGCTCCAACGCAACTCGGAAGTCTAACATTGATGCAGAAATGGACCCACTCTGTTTTTGGGTATATCTCACAGGCCGCATCCCATTAGAGGCCATGGACCAATTATGACATAGGTCGATAAGATTCTGTCCATTCTTTGAACCAGCCGGTTCTAAACAAGGTTTTATCAATCTCTTCATGAAAACATCCAGACTATTGTTCAACAAATTGATACAATCTACTGAGATGTTCAATCCCTCTATCTCCAACTTTTGTTCCAACCTTTTCCTCAAAGAACTGCTATCAGGAAGTTCATCTCTGCATTAACAAGTTTCGAAAGTAGATGCCAATCCATTCCATGATACTTTTTGCATTACTTTAGCATTCAAAGAGATGCCGAGTGGAGCTCAAACAGGACTTCTACTGTGAATGCTTGGACTTCCTACTGCTTGATCAACCTTTTCTCCATCCTCCACAAAGCCTGGCAGTCTGCTAAATGAAAGCAACTCAGTAGTACTCTTCTGTTCTTGAACCTTAGGAAATGCATCTTCACAAGCAGTACCATGGCTTTTCCCATGAGGCCCTAAAGGACTTAGGTGGTCCCTGAACTTATGATCACGAAGATTTGGGGTCCTATTGTTACGAGGGGATTAAGGAATGTTTTTGCACAGTGACTGAAGATTACTTTTTTAATACCCATTTGCCACTTTAACACTTAAAGAACCTTCCAATTTGTTGTCTCTTGATGGAGGAGTCTTTGAAAGTGAAGCATTTCTAATAATTGATGTGAGAAGATAATTGTGGAGACGAACATTTTCTCTCCCTATTGTACCAATGCAGAGTCTATCAAACTCAGGTTTGCCAATCTTAAGGCTTAAAAATCCTGTGAACAGATTGAAGTACTTCTCTGTTCTTAAACGCCCAATCTTCCTTTCAATATAAGATTTCAACTCTAAAGTATCTACTCGAGAAAAATGCCAACCACCCAGCATTTTAGTTTCCAAGTTCCTCACTATCATCCAAAATTTGAATTAACAAACTAGAACGTGTTAATGGGAAAAAGTGGAGCTTCTTTCATTTTTTATATAGCAATCACACTGTTAACAGGGTTATGTTGTATTTACTTTTGATTGATTTATTTACTCTTTGATCCCTTTTTTGAAAATTTCATCTTTTGACTTTACAAGGATATGCAGCAAGGGGGTTTGGCAAGTGCAATTATTTCGAATAAGGGGGTATGCCTTTTACTATATTTAATGAATTTTTTTTATCATTGCTGCAATAGAAATTTGTCATTTTATTAGGCCTAGGTAGTATGCATCTATTTTGCTTGCCTTTTATGTTTTAGACTACATGCATTATTCATTCTCATCCTCTACAGTTGTTTTGTTTTAATTGTCAAATATGCTTAAAAAAGCCAAAATATTGTATCACATAATTTCATTACTCAGCACACTGATTAGCTTCTGAAAACCTCTTATTCTGCTATCTTAATGGAGAGTACTCCCTCTAGATACTTCTCTTGCAATCTGATATTGTCTAAGCAGAATTCTGCTGTAAAGAGATCAACAACAGTGGCATTTACTTTACATCATTCATTGTAACTGCTACTGTTGTCATTTATTGGTTACCTGAAAAGATAAATTTATATTGCATATTACTTGATTTTTGCTTTCTTATACATGTAGGTGGCTGCATATGAACACCTTACTCTGAGTAGGATATCTTTTCCTCGAAGGTAAACCTAATATGCTTTTTATATACCTATTTGTAAAATTGAAATAAATTCTAAAATCCTATAAATGTAATCATAACTATGCTTTTAGTTGCCACGTTATTCTATTGGCCATATGGTTGGTTTGTATTCTGGATCAATTTGGTGATTTGTTCTTGTAGAAGCTGCAAGACTTCCTGGTTGTCATGTTTGTGTTGAAAGTGGTGGAGAGAAATTGCTTCTTGATTGGTACAAGGAAGTAAAAAGGTTTGCAACATATGTCTAACTGGATTGGTTTCATATAAATTTTTTTTGTAGGGTTTAATGTGAAATTTAAGAATTGCAGAAATAATAGAAAATGGATCTATTAAAAGGAATTGAAGCTAATAGTCATTGTTTATTCAATATTTGTGTTATAAGCTAGAAATGGCCAATAATGATGTAGATTAATACACAACTTTATTCAGACTAATAAGTAATTTCAATATTTAAACTAATACCCAATTTTATTTTACTTTTGAAGCGAAGCACAAGCTTGAAACCTAGTATATATTAACCTGGGTAATTCATTCCTTTTTATATTTTTGAAATTTATATTTTTAAATCATTGCAATTTTATTACATTCGAATTGTAGCATGGGTTAATAAATGTAAGTATTTTTTAAATCAATTACTTTTATTATAAAAATTCAAATTCAAACACTTTGAATAAGGTGAATATATTATATACAGTACACTTACCACTAAACAAAAACATTTTATATTTTTCATTAAAAAAAAATTGTTTCTGTCCATAGTAGAAAAAAATTTCTAAATAGTTACTAGCATATCTATAATATCTATAGCAACGTAAAAAAAAAAAAAAAAAAAAAAAAAAAAAAAGGTAATTTTTGAAAGAAAGCTTTTCTAGAAGCTACTCCAAAAGCTTGAAGAGAGAAGTTTCTCTAAAACCAAATAGGTATTCAGACAAAGAAAAAACCAAAATAAAATGGGGGAGAAAGCAAGAAAAAAACTCACTAAAAAATGGAGAAGAATAGTAATAGGTTGAGAGACATGAGTTGAACTGACGAGTTGAGCTGAGTTGAGTTGGAAGGACAAAATTGGAGTGGAATATGAATCAATGAGTTTTGGATTCAGTGAGAGAGAAAGAGAGAAACCTATGAGCGAGTATGGAAGAGAAAACTTTACAACTCTTTTTGTATTGTCCAAAGAATAAGGAAAGAAAAAAAGATAATAGAATAGAGAGATAGGAGATGAAGATGAAGACCGACAATAGGTTCCGACGTCAAACCAATCCTTTGCTAAGTTTGCAGCTTCTGACGAAGAATCTATGAGTTGAATTCTAGCGACTTTTTATTATTGACACTTTTTTAATTCAAATTTTCTTTCTTTTTTTTTTTGTTGTAGGTTCGTTTAATTTGCTTTTTTTTCATTGACTTTATTTTAATCTATGAGGATTCCGATTATGAGGTTTTTTATGTTTGCATGTTAGGTATATTAAGAGCAAACTCTTCCAACCATAAATGCAAGATGAATTTTCTGTCCGATGTCCACAAACAAAATCCTTCCATTTTAAGAACAAATTTCATTTTCTGATGGTCATTCCAAAATTTACTTGGTAAGTTCTAATTTTTGCAGTTTTCAAAAGCAATCTTTGCTAATGATAGGAGTGAACCAAATGGAAAAATTACTAAAAATCAAATTTTAAAGGGGGGATTGAGTTTTGCTGATGATGGGAATGTTACTATTATTGAAAGCCAAATTTCAAAGGGAGAATCAATCTTTGCTAATGATGGAAACATAACTAAAAGTCTTATGCAAATGCATGATATATTCGAGCACTCATTGATCACAATTGACAAAGTTATAGGTAAATTTCACTGTCTATTTGTAGATATAATTGGTAGATGCATTATAGCCATTGCTTTTTTTTGTTCTAGAATTAATATAGTTTAGGCAAAGACATTAATACTTTCATAATCAGTGGACTGTAGAATATTATATTAGTATTATGGTTTAGAACATGTCCATGTGCCTCTAAACATATGTGACAGGTGGCAAACTTTTGTTTGGGTGAATAGAAAGCAATTTAATTTTAGTAAAAAGAAAATGAGAAAAAAAATCTCTACCATTCGTGTTTCCATACTTTCTTTGCTTCTTATGTGATATTTTCTTTCATTTCTTAGTTGGATTTCTTAATTGATTTTGTGGTGACTTGTATGTGGTACGGCTTTTTTAAGGAAAAGAATGACATCAAAGGTGTGATCAGTGCCCTACGGAAGTTGCCAAATCATTCTGTGGGTATTTATGGGAAGATTTCATATGTGTTTCTTTAGTTTTGATAATAGTTTGTTTATTACTTTAAACATGTTTGAATAAATGTCAATGTGGAAGGATTGTATAATAACAGACTTTTCTTACCTTAACAATACTTCTTCCATGGTTAAATGGGTTTTTTATGTGGCCTTCTTCGTTTGGTTCTTACCATAAAAGCCTTTGGTGATCTTTGTTATTTGATCTGCTCTATCTTTTTTTGGGAGTTTTTACTTGTGGGTCCTAATTGTGGCTTTGTTTCGGTATTTTTAAGATGTAGAAATCTTTTTTTTGTGCTAGAGTTTGAGCTTCTTGTGTTTGTGCGTATGCTTATATTTGACATAGTACATGCCCTATAAAAGCTTTCCAGTCTAGTTAGTTATTATAAAGGATTCATAGATTTGTCTATGATATAGTTATCCTATTCAGAGTACTTACTAGTTTCATTTTAATTATATCATTGTGTTCTATCTTGAGGTTTATCTCTTTATTCTTATTTTCTATTTATTAGGTTGGCTCATAGGATTGATATATTTGTTGAATGAGTAGCATGCAACTCTAGCAACTTAAATAGAAGTAATATATATATATATATTTGCATTTTCTTAGTGAAATTTGTTCAATTGATATGTTATAAACTTCCATTATATGGATATTAAATAATGTATAAATTATTAGTAGATGTTTATAGGAAACAAGGTAATATTATCATATAAGTTCTTCAAGTCTGGGTCATAAATGTTTTGATACTCTGGCATTATTCAGTTATTATTATCTATGAATGTTTTGATACTCTGAAATTATTCAGTTATTATTATCTATGAATGTTTTGATACTCTGGCATTATTCAGTTATTATTATCTATGGTAAATTGAAACTTCCTAATATGCCATAATGTGAGTGTATGTTGCATTTCACATTTCACTTACTAGAAAAAATGGGAAAAAGTTGCAATTTAAACTAGCAATAATTAGCTTTTGCCGTGTATTGTCAAATTGACTTGATACCTTGATATTTTCTATACTTTGGCTTGGAAATTATTTTTTGGTTTATCTTGAAAATTGGAATTCTATGAGTTACCCTAAAGAAGGTACAGAAAAGATTATTGTACCTCATTAATTTCTTTTAAGTTTATCAAGGAGTTTGTTATAATTGTTTTTGTTGTTTGTGTACACCTCATTGTCTAAGGATGGCAAAAGCGATTTGAGGCTGGTTATAGTGCCTCATATTATCCTTGCATGGAAGTTCTATGCAAGTGTTATAAAGATGTTGCAACTAGAAGCGAGATTTGCAATGTTGTTTTGGCTGGGGCATTGATTGCATGTATGTTTATAACACTATATTCCTATTTTGTTCAGTTTTACGCATGATAGATCCTCATTTCATGAAACAACTTGGTTTAGTTGATTAATTTGTAATTGGGAATGACGAGAAAATTTTTTTAAATGTTTCTTGGACCAATCAATGTGTGTATATCTCATAAAAACATCTAGTTGAAAGTTAAGGAGGAATATAACAACTATAGAGTAAATGTCACTTATTTTTAACTTTTTCTTTTCTATTCCTTTTTATTCTTTGATTGTTTTTATTGGCATCCAAACATACTCTTCGTGTGTGTGTGTGTGTATGTATATACACTTGCCAATTAGTTTAGTTTAGCCCCATGGAAGAAGAATGTGAGGTGTGGTATTGCTTTCTTTTTCTCAATAACTTTATGATAATTGTGAGATTTTGTTTAGTTATCTTTCCTTAATTAAATGGACATTTCTTAATAAAATATGAAGTTTTCAGTTTTGGTGTAGTCATGCTTGAGATTATTAACGAAAAAAGAACTTGAGAATTTATCAAGTGGAACATTGCCCAAGACTAATTGGGTATGTAAGTAAGGATTAATATTTTTGTTCTTTATTCCTTCATCAACTTTCTTCTCCATACTAACTATTGGCCAATGCTTAAGAGGTAAGA